GCACTTCTAATTCTCTTTATTTTTGCACACTACATTTTTACTTATTTGTTAGTTGTTTCTTTCCACTAATGCATGGTCTCCACTAGAGCAATGGTACATTTATTTTTGCTTGTTGCTCTATTCCTGAAACTCAGGACAGTGTCTGGCATATAGGAAGAACTCAATGTATTTTGTTGGATGAATGATGATTATGGTGAGCTAACAGTGAAAAATTTTCCTATAAAAAGACACATAAATGGAATGATGTTGATATAAGGTGAAGTTTAATTCCTAAGAGGTGTAATGCTACAAAATAGTTGGGCCCAGGGCAGTAGCCTAGTGGCTAAATCCTCATATTGCAACCACGAGGATCCTTTATGGGTGCCAGTTTATCTGCTGGCTGATCCACTTCCCATCCATCTCCCAGCTTGTAGCCTGGGAAGGCAGTAGAGGATGGCCCAGAGCCTTGGGACCCTGTACCCATTACGGAGACCCAGAAGAAGCTCCTGGCTTCGGATTAGATTGGTGCAGCTATGACTATTGTGGTCACTTGGGGAGTCAACCAGTGGATGAAAGGTCTCTCTCTTTGTCTCTCCTTCTCTCTGTATATCTACCTTTACAATATAGATAAACATAAAATAAACCTTTTTCAAAATTACAGAATGCTTACATAGTAATGGAAATGATTCGATGTAGAGTAACAATTATACCGTAGGAACAAAGTACATCTATATGAATCACATGGCATAACTGGAGGAAAAGCCTTCCAGGGTAGCAAAACATTTTTCTATTGCAACAGAAAGGAAACCAAAGAATATGGCTACATATGCAGGTGTGGGGACTCTTTCTCCGATTCCTTCTAATTTCCTTATCAAATAATTTCTTTACACATCAGTGGATAGAAAAAAAACAGACATCAGAGATTTGAGAGGCAAGCAGATGTTATAAAATGATTGTGAGAGAGTGGAAGAATTAATTATGGGAAAGATATAGAATGGTTGTGCTAGCTTACACTTAGTTTTCATGAATTTCAAATAAGATTAGTGAGCATTTTCCTATGTTTGCTCTCACATGTTTATATTCACATACAAGAATGCAGAGTTGGATTTCAGTATGCTTGCTGTTTTGTCAGGCAAATAGAAGCAGAAGTGATGAGAAAGATTGTGTATGACATATGTGATAAAGTAAATAAAGACATTGTAAAACTGATCAGCTAAATGAACTGGCTGATCTAGTCAATTTTAGGAATTTTTAATTTGAGGAATAAGCCACAAACACGGGAGCTATTGGTTAGATCGGGCATTTGAAATTGGGATTATGACAGGATGAAGTCATTGGTAATAACAAAACCAAGGCTCTTATCTCATAGATAATTGGCTATGATGAAATGGAACACAAGTTTGTTAGGGAAAAAATCAGAAAGATAGAGGCCAAGATAGTGGAAGTATCAACCACATGGACATTGAAAACACCAAGCTTTAATTCAGTTTCTGTTAAACAGAAAACAATGGGAAAGAACTCACATTGTTTTGGGCTGTTTGAGAGTGGGATTCTCTTGATAATTTCAACAAAGAGGTATAGTTGTTTTGACTTAACTTCTGGAGAACACATGGAAAATGATCTGGAATTGATCATGAGGTATAGGAAAGACAACTTGACCCATTTCAAGGCTCAGTGACATGAAAGATACTAGCAACAGAAGCATAAATCAGAGTTCAGATTTCAGATGGGATAAGTATTTTCAGAGAAGAGATTAAGAATGGAGGTAACTGGGGGCTGCCACTAGTAACCATATTGTGCCAGTTCAAGAATCAACTGCTCAACTTCTAATTCAGCTCCCCTGCCAGTTACCTGGATAAGCAGTGGAGGATGGTTCAGGTGCCTGGGCACTAAAAGCTCTGCGTTTCTTGCTTCAGCCCATCTCAACCCCAGCTTGTTGTAGCCATCTAGAAAGTTAAACAGTGGATGCCAAAGCTCTCTGTATCTCCTCCTCTCGCTGTAACTATGCCTTTCAAATAATTTTTACAAAAATAAGTCTTTAAAAAATCTAAATAAAAATCTCAAAGTATGTGTAGATGAAAGATTAAAAATTCTAATATATGAAAAATGGAGGTAATTGAGATTCCAATTGCAAAAATGTCCTTCACAAACTATTATACCTGATGACCCCGTAATTTCCAATTTCAAGATAGGATACAATTAATGAAATTTTCAAGAATTATTATAATAAACTTCTGTAACAAACCCACAAACTGGAAAGCTTAAAACAACAGAAAGTCTATTGTCTCATAGTCTGGAAGCTCTGAGTCTGAAATCAAGCAGAACAAAATTCCCTCCTAAATTTGGAAGGAAAAAATCCTTCCTCATTTCTTCTAGTCGGCTAACAATTCTGCAATTCCATTGACTTGTACATCATTCTCTTTCATCTTTGCTTCCATCACCATGAGGCTCTCTGTGTTTTCTCTGCCTCCTCTTCTTATAAGGACTACAATCCTACTGGAGCAAGAGCTTACCTCCTCTAGGATGACTTATTTTAAATAATTTCATCTCTAGTGACCATTTGCAAATAAGGACATATTCCAATGGACTGTAATAAGGATTTCAACTTTTTTTAGGGGAAAGATTTAACCTGTAATAGAGGTGTTGAGAAAAAAACCCAGGACATTTGCAAAGGAATGGGATGTCTCTGAATTTTAAGCTGCTCAGGTTTTTATTTGGCTCAACAGTTGAGGCCTAGAACCAAAACATTTAAGAAATTCTTACTTTTATTAAATAAATTCATGATAACCTAAACAGACAAAAAAAAAAGGTCAAACATATTGTATGTGATCTGGAATCATATAACATAGAAAAAGTTGATGTTATGGGACAATGTGACTAAACCTACTGGGACAGCCCAGTTGACTTGGAAGAAAAGCAAGAAACTTAAGTTGAGGGTCCTAGAGCACCTTCCACTATTCTTGTAACTTTATTATTTTAAACTGTTGAGCCAACTAAAGCTTAAGAATACTTATATAATATTGGAAATGATTCAATGTAGAATAAAAATTATACCATAGGAGCAAAGGAAATCTAGCCCTTTCTATTTTCCACAGGTCTGAGTGGATGAAAGCTTGCAATAATGTATTGCTATTGCATGAATTGGCTGGAAGAATTTCTTGCTATGGCCAGGAAATGGGAAGGAAAGGAAGGAAAGACTCATTTTCAGGTTCTTTAGTCATGAGCTAGAACAGGATACTATGACTGTAGAACAACGTGCTATATCTGTAGATCCTGCCTGTAAAATCAGTCCTGCTATTTAATTTTTTAAGATTTTTGATTCACAAGTAATATCTGTACATACTATAGAGTACTATGTGATCTTTCAACACATATATAACAGTAGAAATGGATCAAATCAAGCAAGTAGCCTTTTCATTTCCTTGTGACATTTAGATCCTATCTGTTCCTTTGTTTTGCAATCCTGCCTAAAGAATTTAATGCACAGCTGTGAATTATAATTGGCTCCACTGTGCTGTGGAACACTAGAGTTTGTTACCTGTAACTGACTCTGTTTTGGTAACTGTTATTCAACCTGTGTTTCGTGTTTTCTGCTCTTCTGACATGAGTCACACAAGTAATAGATGTCCCCCTGCTAGAATAGAGAAAACTTAGGCTCTACAGCCATTTGTGGTGCACTTCCTAGGTGCCATGCTCTGTCTGGTCTCCTGACTCTCAGACTGGCCCCTGGGACCTCATGCTCATAAAGGTTAACCTATCTTTGTGATCCCAGGAATTGGAGAAAAAAAAAAGAAACACTTCTTGGTGCCTCCAGTTATCTACAGCTAGTGAGTAGATACATGCCAATTCTTTTCTTTCAAATTACTGCAATGTTCACTTGAGTTTCAATTTGACTCACTGCAGATTCTGAACTGGTGGAGTTCAAATTAATGAGGCTTGTTCTGCTGAGGAAAGTGGTCCTATTGTCTGACTCTTCCTACTTTGTCAGAATGGAGTTGGCATTTCAGAAGGGAGGGTAAGGCTGAGGTTTATTAGAGGAAGGTAATGCCTTGCATGAAAGATGCAGACCCCAACTGTTCAGTAGTATATCTAGCCCTCTCTATTTCCTACACAGCTGGTAGGAAATGAAGTCCCTCACTCTATTACTCTAATTGAATTCCAACTTGGATAATTACACCATAATTAAATAAATTCTCCCAATAGTTTTAATTCACTGACAAATAGTGCTAGTCAAATAGCTATACTTCACTCCCAGAAATGCATCCCCACTACATTTCAGTGATCAGTGGAATGATTAATATTTGGAAGATGTCTGTATGAAAAAAGGCACAGTTCATAAAATATTTTAGATATCATTCATGATTACATATGCTCTGCTCAGCATGAGATAACATTAATTTCTATTATGATCTTTCATCTAGTTTCTCACATGCTTTGTTCCAAAAGAAATAAGACAGTTAATTAGCATTTCTTACTTTCGGAACATTTTTGTTGAGTTAACCAGTAGCTTTTATTTTCTATTTCTAAAACACATTTCATTATCCCCGCAAGACAGACTGGATGGAGTAGGCATTGCTATTTCCCATTATACAGATGACAAAATCGAGGCAGCTTTCCGTAAAATAAAGAAAGTAACTACCATTAGTGCTAGCGTTGAATATCAGGCTTCCTCTGCTCCCTTGATCTAAGGTCCTTCCTGTCAAACACTATCAAACACCAAGTCATTACCAATCACTTTCAGATTTTCTAATGAGAAAATAAAGAGCCTCACATTCATGACCTGTGCCACAGGTCATATGCTTTGTGTTAATTAATGATTTATCCACTAGTAGGAGTCTGGTCTCTGGGTCCCAATGTTGTCCTGCTGTGGTGAGATGATGAGGCTTCTTTGTGTCTCTGTGTTACTATCAACTGGGAGAGCAGTTTAAAATTCAACTATCAAATTTAATTTAATGACCTTTCTTGAAGGGTTGTAGGTGACTTTTCACAAAAGATATTAGAGATAACATCACAATACTCACAAAAAGCAGCAGTAGCAGAGGTGTTACAACAATGCCCTGGAAGGAAAAAGAGACAATGATCATTTATCAGTCGGGGCAAAGGAGGACACTTGCTTCGCCATTTGAACCTGAGAGGTGGAAACGTTATCTTTTGCACTTCTGTTGAATAGAACCTAGAAAATAAAGAAGAAGGAGTCCTGATTTGGACTCTCCTTACCATCAGGGCTTAGCATCTGATGGTATCTGGCATTAAAAAGACAAACACTCATCTTCCTCAAACTCATATTCCCTTCCACCCTACACATACATTACACAGACGGAAGCTGGTGCATGGCAAACTTTCGCACTGCACAGCTTTCAGTTCTAACTTGGATAAAGTGCCCCTTTTGGAGGGGAGACAGGTGGTTTTGCCCCAGTTGGGGTCCTCTCCTGAGCAAAGACCACGTCAGGTGTGATGAATGAGAAGTCGTGCTTTTCTAATGTGAACTGATCTCTCCTAGGAAATGAGCTGGGATCTCAAAACTCATTTCACTTGATTAGACTCCACGTCTCCATGGTGGAAGGCAAGTCTTTCATCTAATTCAGCCACACAGGACCACCTCAGTCCCTCCACCTCCCCTAGGCTGAAACGAGCAAAAGATTTGTTTTTTTCGATGACAGGGAACAGTTTGAGGCTGTTGCCGATGAGGCAGCCTACACGCTTTTTAGGTTTCTTGAAGGCTAATCTTTACAACACAATGCTTGAGTTGGGAGTTAACATGACAGGTTTCAGTTTTTGAACAGCAGATGATTATTCACCACCTTTAGTTCTTTCTTTATCTCTCATCATTTCTTCATGATTTATACAAGAAAATACATTTCATATTTTTATTAATGCATTCCACTTGGAAATAAATTCTACTTAGAAATTTCACAGTGTGAGGTTGCACATGAATCTGTATGCGATGGAGAGAAAGAGAGACAGACTATTTTGTGCCCAGGATCCAAGCCTGGGACCACTTCACTGCTTTCAAAAACAAGTCCTTCTGGTATTTATATGGAAGTCCTTTTACAGAAACTAAATTGTTTGGCATGTGGCCCAGGAGGGACTGACTTACTTGATATAAACATTCCAACAATGACTTTCTTGGACATATATGTGTGTGAATATCTTCACATATACTTGCTTTATTATTAAAAAATAGAATAAATCCTTTATTTTGCAAACTTTTGCAATTTGCAAAAGAGAATACAGCACTTAATTTAAGGGTCATATTTTAAAATCTATTTACTAAAACATGTATTGATACTTATCAACTCTGTTGGTATCTATGAAACAGGTTCTCATTAGTACATATGGAGAGCCAATTGTGCCAAATTTGAAAATAACTTTTAATTTAGAAATATTATCCTTCAATTGTATATAATATGTTCAGACTTTAGGAGGAAATTAAAAACTCAGAAGAAAATGTGGAAATGAAAATACTAAAGGTAAAGTGAAAAACAGAATTAAAAGATAACTTCATTTTGCTCAAAAATTTTTGACATCCATGCAGTCAATAAAAACACCACATGGAGAGGCCAGCATTGTGGTGCAATGCTGTCATCCCATAGGAGAATACCACTTTGAATTCCAGGGGCTGCACTTAGCATCTAGCTCCTTGCTCATGTGCTCTGCTTCTTGGCCCATCTGGGGGACCAGGATGGAGTTCCTGATCCCTGGTTTTAGCTTAGCCCATACCTGGCCGTGGCAGCATTTTGGGAAGTGAGTCAGATTTCTATCTCTTCTCTTTGCCACTCTTTCAAATAAATAAGTAAATGTTTTTCTTTAAAACTATGTAAAAGTATTCCTAGATTTCATTCCTTTTAATCCAGAAAATTATCCTTTAATTCCATTTGCCATAAACTTTCTAAAGTATTCTAATACCTAGCTGTTTCTGTCTATGTAACAGACATCTGATTCTAAGCCAATTTGTTTTAACATTAGAGAACATCCACTTAAATACCAGGCATTATACATGTCACAGGAGATTCAAGGCTAAATACAACATAGTCCCCATGCTTAATTAACTTATAACTCAATAGGGGACAATGGCTTCTGCACAAAGTTTAATGCAGAATGATAGAATGAATAAATAAACTGGTGTGAGAGGAAAGGGTGAAGTGAAAGAGGAGTATTGTTTCTGCCTGGAGGATCATGAGATGTGGGTAACACTGAACACAGTGTAAGTATGAATGGAAACCAACCTGGCAAAACACAGAAAGGGTATTTCAGGAAGAGAAAGCACCATTCCAAAAAATATGGAACACTGAGGTGAACAGGAGGAAAAATATGAAGTGGAAGGGTACTAGGCTGTATCAGCAATGGCCTTGAAGCTTGGACTTGATCCAATGCTTAATGACGAGCTAATAAAGAAGGAAAGATGAGGGTATAACGAGTTGGTAAACAGAATTTGGAGGGTAGATTTGACATGGCACCTCATCACCAAAATAGTTTTATCTATCAGCTATCAATTTAGTCATTCCATAGGCTATCAATTTATCAATTTAGTCATCCCATTTTTATCTAGTTATTTAAATTTAGATAGAGGGAAATAGACACTTCCATGAATGTTATAGAGTACCAGTAACTTCTGATATCTGTGCTAGGAAAAGAATTTCCACAGAGGAAGTTGGGTATTGTCAGCACTCCAAGGACAATCGTCTTGTAACAGAGGAGTCAGTGTGACACACTACATCACACTGTGCATCCCAATTTGGTGTATGTGTGATGCCCATTTCAATTTCCTTAGGAATAACAGGCAGTCATCATATCAGCAATCATGTAAATAATATGAGTAGCATTTACTGTAGCATTTTCATGTACATTACAAAATCTGACTTCTCTTTGATCCAGCCTAGAGAGAAGTTACTTATTAAACCATTTTATAGATGAGGAAACTGTGGTTCCAAGAAGCCAGGGATACCAAAGTGACATAATCAACGAGCAGCAAGTCATGGACTTACGTATACTTCATCTAACTCTAAATCCAGATACCATGTCTCCAGCATATCATGCATCACTGGGGAGCAGAGTTCAGCAACACCTAGTTGTCTGTGGAGCTCTGTTCATGATGTGTGTGTGTGTGCTCTATGAACTGTGTCTCAAGCTGGTACCCAATCCTTAAAATGGTCTCACTCTAAAAAGCAGAATACTGTCACTTGCAGCTCTTCCTGTCATAACTCTCTAGGTCCACAGTCTCCAGCACACCAAAGTTCCTTTGCATATCTTCCAAGGACTTGCCATATTTACTCTTAAAATATTTGAAATTTCTGGGTTCGGCACTGTAGCCTGGCAGTTAAAGTCCTTGCCTTGCACGTGCCAGGATCCTATTTCATGTCCCAGCAGCCCTGCTTCCCATCCAACTGCTTGCTTGTGGCCTGGGAAAGCAGTGGAGGATGGCCCAAAGCCTTAAGTCCCTGTACCCGACATGGGAGGCCTGGAAGATGCTCCTGGCTCCTGGCTTTGGATTGGCTCAGTTTGGGCCATTGTGGCCTCTTGGGGAATGAATCATCAGACGGAAGATCTTCCTCTCTGTATATCTGACTTTACAATAAAAATTAAAAATGTTTATTTGAAAGTTCCCAAGTAAATAGGATGCATTTTTCTCATCTGGATATACTAGTCCTCATTATATTCTCAAGAATGGTTGTTCAAGTTCATTCACTAAGACTGAATTAGTATATAATGCTGAAATTTACCTTTCAGTTGTGCTAGTGGATGAGGCAGCCACAGTGCCACTAAATGACAAGAGCATTATAATTAAGTTTTTGGTTAATTAAGTAATGGTCACTTGTAGAGAACTTATGTCAGATGTTGAACTAAGGCTTCAAGATGATTTTATGCAATCTTCACAACAATCCAAGTTGATTAAGTAGCAGTATTGTTCCCACCGACTACACGCAGCAGCTGGGCTCCAGAGTCAACGAGTAAGACAGAATGTGGTGATGCCAGAAGCTGAGTCTCAACTTCCTTGAGTACACAAAATCACTGCGATATTAAGCTACTTATTCAGGGTTATAAGAGCAAAACTCTTATAAACTCTTATTCCAACTTGGTATGTCTTACTGATGACATGAAATAAATTGAAAAATAAGCCATTGTGTGACATGACCAAGCCATTTAAAACAATCAGGTGTTTGCAGATATCAAAGGATGAAAATTTAAACTCTGACAGCAACAATCACTGAAAGCTGAAAAGTCAAATAAACATATTTTTTCTCTTGGGTATATTAAAGACTCAATTTAGTTCAGTCTCCTTTGTTTAAATAAATTTGATTCAGATGGAGAAAAATAAAGACATGGAGAAAAATAAAGACATAGAGTACTTCTAGCAAAAGATGTTTACTCTGCCTTACAGATTTGAGGTCAGGACACAGTTTTAGCATCCTGGAATTGGAAGGGCATAAAGCTTTCTGGTTGCAGCATCTGTAGAAGTCAATGCCCAGCTTTCACTGTGTCCTGGAAAACTTTTGAAAATCCATTCACACCACTAACGTGAATGACCCAGTGGGTGTATTTCAGTGAGTTTAGTAAAAAGGGAAAAACGTGTCAAACATGACACTGAGATCTAAATGCATTTAGTTGCATTAAAACACAAATAAGAAACAACAAATAACAATACCAAAACTGTGACTGCACATGTCTCAGAAACAGGTTTTGTAAAAAGAAAAAGGCCAAGCTGAAGTGAACACATGCTGTTTTAAAAGTAGAACATGTAAACAATTGTTTTTGCTGCAACAGCTACAGTGCTCACACCGATTTCATCGGCTTCTGCTCCAGGATATTGCACTAGTTATGTTTCCACAGAATTTCTGTTGCATGACATTTTGGAAACACCCCTGGTGGAGTCCTCATCTGAAATGTGAACCCCTCTCTCACTCTCCCTTGTCCTTTCCTCATCAGTGATGTGATTTTGCTCTCAAGGCAAGTGATGCCTTGGCTGAATTACCATCTCACACAAGGAGGATGTTCTTTCTTCTGACACCAACCAAAATCATGCTACCCCGTCTTCCTTTGGAGTAATTTAGGGAGAGTA